TGGGGATTTGATTCTACAATCTTCAGGTTGAGATGTACCAGTGTTGACTAAACTGAATGAAATGCTGGATAGTAACTCATGCCACCTCAATCAGTTTCTTACACTTTGTGTAGAAGTTTACTACTCGGGAATTATTTTTGTTATATCTTGGACATAAAGCTGGATTCATTCAACAGTAACAAGGAATGGAATTAAGGCACTGGGGAAGTGTAGTCACATAGAATAAACATTTATAAAAATTTCCAGACAAATACACTAATCAAGGCCAAGCATAGCAAACTGTAGCAACACGTCAGATAACAAGAAGCAATAGTTAGAAGAGAGCTACACTGTGAAAGTGTAGGAGGTGCAGGAGGGTTAACACAGCAGAGGGTTAAATCAGAGGTTGTTACAGAATGGGTGCTGTCGGTGATCATTTACAATGAGGGCTCTGGACTAAATTAAGTTTTATAAATTGGGAAATAAAAACCAAAAGAACTGCAGATACTAGGAATCAGAAACAAAAGCAGAAATTGCTGGAAGGTTCAGATTTCTGGCAGCATCTGAGGAGAGAAATCAAAGTTAACATTTTAGGTACAGTGACATTTCCTCAGAAACTGGGAGCTAAGTCTGAGAGTAGCACAGCAGACACTTCTGGATGCTTGTAACAATGAAACAGTTGACAGTAAGAATGAGGTCAAAGAAAATGATTCATTTCTTTGATTCATTTTCTGAATTTGTTCCTGGGACATGGACATCATTGGCTGGGCCAGCATTTATTTCCCATCTCTAGTTGCCCTTGAGAAGGTGGTGGTGAGCTGCCTTCTTGAACCGCTGCAGTCAATGTGCTGTAGGTTGACCCACAATGCCCTTTGGGAGGGAATTCCAGGATTTCCAGTGATAGTGAAGGAACAGCGATATATTTCCAAGTTAGGATGGGGAGTGGCTTGGAGGGGAACTTGCAAGGGGTAGTGTTCCCATACTGCCCTTGTCCTTTTAGATGGTTGTGGTCATAGATTTGGAAGGTGCTGTCTGAGGATCTCTGGTGAATTTATGCTTTGAATCTTGTAGATACTACACATTGCTGAGTGTTGGTGGCGGAGGGAATGGATACTTGTGGATGTGGTGCCAATCAAGTGGTCTACTTTGTCTTGAATGATATCAAGCTTCTTGAATGTTGTTGGGGCTGTACTCATCCAGGCAAGTGGGGAATATTTCGTCACACACCTGACTTTTGCCTTGTAGATGGTGGACAGGCTTTTGGGAGTCAGGAGTTGAGTTACTCATTGCAGTATTCCCAGCCTCTGCCCTGCTCTTGTAGCCACTGTAATTATATGTCGAGTCCAGCTCAGTTTTTAGCCAATAGTAATCCCCAGGATGTTGATAGTGGGGAATTCAGTGATGGTAACACCATTGAATATCAAGGGATGTTGTTTAGATTGTCTCTAATTGGTGATGGTCATAGCCTGGCATTTGTGTGGTGCGAATGTTACTTGCCACTTGTCAGCCCAAGCCAGAATGTCATCCAGGTCTTACTGCATTTGGAGATAGGCTGCTTCAGACTGTCTTGGATAATATAATTCTTTCAATCAATGTCAGAAACAGAGACTGAGACCCACTATCTCGGTGCAAGGTGCCCCATTCTTGTATTTGATTCCAGCAATAATCATTCAGGCAGCAGACCCACTGATAAAGGATACAACATTCTGAGGAGGCTGCTACCACTTTGGGAGCACAGTGAGGGGAGGGTGGCTTTTCTGGGAATCAGTGGGTCCACCAGAGAGGAGCCCATGGTGCAGTCTTGTTTCTTGCTGTCAGCCTCGTGCTCAGAAAGATTGGGTGAAGAAGGATTGTTCGACACAGAGGATTGATTTCCTGGGCTCGGAACAAGTCCAAGCTTCCTGGTGTGATCTCTCCTCTGTACGCCTGGATGATGATCCTGCAGCTTAATATTGCTATTGTCCTTGACTTGTGTGGACTTCTCACATGCTGCACAGTCTGGCTCTGAAGCTGGATTGAGCCTCAGACCCACCTGTAATTAAAATTGATCACAATCTCTGTCTCGTTATTGATTTATTGATTTATTGTCATGTGTACCGAAATACAGTGAAAAGCTTTGTTTACAAGCGGTATCGGCAGATCACAGCAACCAAAGATGTACAGATCAAAAAGACTTAGAGGCATACAGGTTACATTATTTGAGGCTAGATTCTATTCAACCGTCTGATAACGGCCAGAAACAAGCTGTTCCTGAACCTGCTCGTGCGTGTGTTCAGGCTTCTGTATCTTCTGCCTGATGGAAGAGGTTGTAGGAGATCATTACCAGGGTGCGATGGGTCTTTGTTGATGTTGGCCACCTTTCTGCAGCAGCGAGCCGCGCAAATAGAGTCCTTGGATGGAAGGCTGGCTTCTGTGATGGTCTGGGCTGTGCACACCACGTTCTGTAGTTTCTTATGGTCCCGGGCAGAGCAGTTGCCGTACCAGGCTGTTATGCACTCAGAAAGGAGCAAAAACAAAGTTGCTGGAAAAGCTCAGCAGGTCTGGCAGCATCTTTGAAGGAAAAAACAGAGTTAACGTTTCAGGTCCGGTGACCCTTCCTCAGAACTTAACCGGACAGTATGCTTCAATGGTGCATCTGTAGAAGTTGGTGAGGGGCCTTATGGACATGACAAATTTCCTGGGCCGCCTGAGGAAGAAGAGACATATTTGTGCCTTCTTGACTGCTGCATTTACATGGGAAGTCTAGGACAGGTCGTCGGTTATCGTCACTCTGAGGAACTTGATGCTCTTCACCCTCTCAACCTCAGTTTTTTGATGTAGGTGGGGGCGTGTTCTTCTCCTTTCTTTCTGAAGCCGATGATCCGTTCTTTAGTTTTGCCGACATTGAGAGACAGATTGTTTTCATTGCACCATGTCACCTCTATCTCCTTTTGTATTTTGACTCGTCGTAGTTAGATATCCATCCCACTATGTTGGTGTCGTCAGCGAACTTGTAAATGGCGTTCGTTTGGAATTTGGCAACACAGTCGTAGGTATGGCTATTTCAGACACCATGCAGACTTGCAGTTAAATCACTGTTCTTTCACTATCATTGGATCAAATACCTGGAATTCCCTCTGAACAGGAATACTCTGTGTGTCCCTACACCCCATGGACTGCAGTAGTTAGAGGAGCAGTGCACCGCTCCCTTCTCCAGGACAACAAGTCATAAACAATAAATATTGGCGTAGCCGATGACATGCATGACCCATCTACACAGATTCCTACTTTGAAGTTGCTACAGCCTTTAAAAATACTTTGTTGACTGTTCATGCTTTGGAATGTCCTGTGGCCCTGAAAACTGTTACATACCTTCATGTCCTTTTGACTTGTTTAGCTCATTCAACACAAGATCCTGCTTTAGGTGAAGACACACTCCCTTTCAGGATCCTTTCTTTCTTTCCCTGTCTCTCTCTCTCTCTCTGTCATGTGATGGTTGTCAGCCCCATGCCCAGAAAAGAGAAATGTTATTGGAACTTTATCAGTTGGGTGAGAAGGGAATGTTCGAGCAAACTCCTTTCCTTGTTCCATGTGCTACATGAGCTTGTAACATTACTTCAGGCAGCTGGTCTGTCAAGGACAGGCACTGTGTTGCACAAGGGACATGGCCATCTTTCACATTCTGAACTTCTTGCACAGATTTTGCTGCAGTTTCTGTACTTCATACTGCGTGTGTGTATATATAAAGCCCAGGACTGTTGTTTGATGTGGACAGAATGATGCTGTCTGATTAGAGATATTTTCTCATCAACCCATTCAGAGATGGTATTACAAACTTCTAGACCAGGTGGGATTTTAACCTGGATCTCCTAGCTCAGAGTTAGGGACTATACCACAGAACAACAAGAGCCTGGTATGGTTTCCAACAGATAAAAGTACATCTGGACAGCAGAGTGAGCTTAGAGACTGTCAGCAGATGAGAAATTAGCCTGGCTGCCTGAGCCCCTCACAACAAACCAACAGTATGCAGGAGCAAAGGGTGATGGGGTGGGAGTGTACACTGGGCTGTGGGAGAGGGTAAATGAGGGGGTAGAATCTGTGATGGGATTTATCTAAAAGGATGTGCAATTGGTTGACAGTAAACCTCAAAAATGGGAAAAGCATCGCATTTTACTTCCTGGAGCTCCCTGTGCACTCTCCCTCACAAACAGCCTGCTGCAGTCCAACAGGTGAGTGCTTTTTGTCTTTTGTTACTTTGAGGGATGAGGGGCTGCAGTCGCTCCTTGTGCCACACTGCCCTGTCCTGGGAGTGAGCTATGTGTGAAACTGCTGTCTCTCTGCACCCCCGCCGCACCCCCCACCTGCCAATCAAGCCCTCAGTCTGTTGGCTCCCCGCCTAGCTCAGCCCTGGGAGTCAGTTTAAAACTAGGAGAGGGTCCCAGCCTGGACCTGAGCCGAGCTGGGAACCCAGGCCAGGCATCAGCAGCTCTCCCTGAGGCTGGGGGAGGAGGAATGGGGCAATGCCAGTCAGTCTGGGGAAGGCAATGCAGGGCAGGAGGGGAAAGTGACAGTGAGTGTGAGGCAGTGTGAGTGTGAGAGAGAGTGAGTGTGAGAATGTGAGTGAGTGTGAGTGTGAGTGAATGTGAGTGTCAGTAAGTGTGTGTGTGAATAAGAGTGTGTGTGAGAATGAGAGTGAGTGTGTGAGAGTGAGATTGTGAGTGAATGTGAGAGCATGAGAGTGAATGTAAGTGTCAGTAATGTGTGTGTGCGAATAAGTGAATGTGTGTGTGAGTGAAAGTGTGAGTGAGTGTGTGAGAGAGAGTGAGTGAGAGTGAGGTGTGGGTGAGTGAGTGTGACAGTGTGTGAGAGTGTGAGTGTGAGAATGTGAGTGAGAGTGAATGTAAGTGTCAGTAAGTATGTCTGAATGAGTGAATGAGTGTGTATGTGTGTATGACTGAATGAGAATGTGGGTGTGCGAGCGTGTGAGTGAGAGTGAGTGTGTGAGTGAGTGAGTGAGGCTGCGACTGAGCGAGTGTGTGAGAGTGTAAGTGGGAGTGAGAGGACCCCGGTTGTGAAAGAGTTAAGGCTGCCGGAATGATGAGTCGCTGGGTGTCAGGGTCAGGGACACACACACACTGGCTGAGAAGTGGAGAGTTACTTTAGCTGGCCTCCTTCCAGCTGCTCTGAGCTGGTCCCTGAGAGAGCCTCAGCTGGTGGTTTCTGAGGAGAAGGCATAAGGACAGGCAGGGAGGTGGCAGGGGCACAGTGCAGTGGGCAGTGTGTGGCCTGAATCCCTCACAGCAGCAGCTGGTTCTGGCTGTGGGCACAGTGATGGGGAGAGAGTCTCTTCACTCAGATCCTCCCTTACCCCCATGGAGGGCCTCCTACCCCTGAGGGCTACACTGCCGGCGAGAAGTTAGACTCTCACACCAGCCACTGCTTGTGAGGACGGACAGGCTTCCGCACTCGGTATCACTGGGAACCGAGGTGTGAATAGAGAAACCGCACTGTACTGGGGAGCTGGGCAAAGTCACAATGAAGACCAGGATTGAATAAAACTCAGGTCAGTGCCACTATCAAACCGACAAGAGGCTAAGTTTTAGTTAGAGCGGGGTGGGCTGTTACTGTGTATATCGATGCGAAATGGGTGAATTTAATGTAAACAGGTGCAAAAACAAAGTTGCTGGAAAAGCTCAGCAGGTCTGATTTTCCAGCAACTTTGTTTTTGTTCCGGATTTACAGCATTCACAGTTCTTTCGATTTTTAATATAAACAGGTATGGGCCTGGAGCCTCAACATCACCGTGTTGCCAAGTGAAACCCTTCCCCCCAAAAAAAATCAGGTCTACAAATGTAACCAGAGAAAACTTTAGACACATCAGGAATGACTGGAGTTGAGTTGGAAAGATGATTTGTGCGATGATATGATGGGACGCTTCAGTTCTTCCTTGACAGTTTGACAGTTTGATTCCCGTTTTAGATATTTTTAATCAGCCTGTTCAGGCATACTGTTACACAGCTCTGGAGTAGGTAAGACTTGAACCCAGACGTCTCGGTTCGCAAGAAGGGACACTACCACTGTGTTACAAGAGCCCTTTGCAGCTTGTTTTATTTTTTATTTAACCTATTTTTCTAATCAATCAGTTCAGAGATGTTATGGCACACCTCAGGAGAAGGTGGGACTTGAGGTCTGGACTCCTAGTCCAGGGGTAGGGACACCACCACTGCACCACAAGAGGGACCCCTCAATTCTGTTTTATTAAAAGAAATATGTGCAAGGGACCACCAGACACTAGATTGTTGCAGGGATCCAGGAGGTTTTGTTTTAGAAAGAACGCCCTGAGGTCCTTACCTGACTGTCTGTACATTTGTGCAGTGGTTCAGCAGATTCTGATATGTAATCAAATTCCCACTGCATTGTGAGTCAGGCCCAGCAGCAAAAGGTCTGAGCCACTGACATGGTACTAAATGCAAGCCTTGCCATTGATTCCCACAGAGATAGTAGGAACTGCAGATGCTGGAGAATCTGAGATAACAAGGTGTAGAGCTGGATGAAAAAAAAATTCTGAAGGGTCTAGGCCCGAAACGTCAGCCTTCCCGCTCCTGTGATGCTGCTTGGCCTGCTGTGTTCATCCAGCTCTACACCTTGTTATCATTGATTCCCACATCCCAGATTCAATGAAAGACAACAGGAGCACTCCCTGAAGGCCATCAACTCAGACTCCTGGAAACCTCAATACTGATCAAGGGTTAGCCAGCCTCCGCCAATCCCGTTACATCACAGACCCCTGGATAATGATGTATTTTTGAAATACATAATGAAAATCCCTTACTTGGGGGTCCAGATCTGAGGTGCATTGGGCCACATGTAGTGCCCCTCACTCTCAGGAGGCAGGGGTGCATTGTCCCAGACCTGGAGATTTCCTCCCTAAGTGTCCTGCTGAGTTCCTTTTGGAAGGCAAGTCCTTGAGTTTCACTGGTCACTAGAGATCCATTACCCCCTGCCTCTGCTTCAGTGGTTATACATGTGACTACTTCCTATACCAACTGTATTATTAGTTTTCTGAATATTGATATACTCACAGCTGGTGGTAATGCCCCACAAGTCGGGTCACTCACAGAAACCTGGCTTTATAGATCATAAGTTTTATTTTCTGTTTTGCTTAATGTGGTGGCTAGTCACTGAAAATATTAACAAGAGTTTGCCAATGCCATGTGAACAAATGAACATCAATGTTTATTACACACAAATTAAAAAAAAGTGTTACAGTATGCAAGGACTATTTGAAACAGTTTTGTTACAAGCATCAGAAAGAAAGATTCAATCCCTTTACCCCCTCAACAATATTCCAGTCTCTCAAACCCCAGTGAAGGTTGAATCTATCTCTACATTATAGCTCCTTGTTTTGTTGGTATGGTTTTATTTGGTTTCATATTGGCAGATTTCTACATTTATCTGATGCTATTTTCTTCACTTAGTGTCTCTTTTGGAGCCTCTCAAACAAGCTGCTAACTCAGCTCACTTGCTTCTTAACATGTGGTCATCAAACTAATTTATTGAGCAGACCTGGGCAACATCTTTTCTTTCTGATACGTCCATAGCCTTTTGCATTTGGAGTCAGCTCTGGACTTTTCTCTTTTTCCCCTAAATGTTTTGAAGACTATTAAACTATTATCATCTCTGCTGTTAACCAACTTTTCTCTCTGACTTGGTAGGGTTCTGCTTGAATTCCTCTGGATTGATCTGATTTTCTGTGTTACTGGTATCCTACAGGCATTCCTATCTCTTCTACTCTTTGTTAATGCTCTGAACTGTTCACCTTAATTGTTTAAAGACCTAATTGAAATGCATGCATGTAAAACAAATCTCCGGAAGCCCCCATTGCCATTCTCAGAACCAATCTAAAATGAAACTAAAAATATCTTCCCTCTTCATAACACTGATCCTTCATGATAACCTGAATACAGTGGTAGGCAAGTTATTGGAGAGGATACTGAGGGATAGGATCAACCAACATTTGTGTAGTTAAGGTCTGATTAGGGATAGTCAGAATGGATTTGAGCATGGGAAGTCATGTCTGACAAATCTTTTAGAGTTTTTTGAAGAGGTAACGAAGTGGATAGATTAGGGTAGGGCAGTGGATGTTGTATACAAGGACTTTAGTAAGGTCTTTGACAAGGTCCCCCACAGCAGGCTAGTCATGAATGTTAGGTTGCATGGGATCCAGAGAAAGCTAGTTAATTGGGTTCAAAATTGGCTCAATGGTAGGAGCAGAGGGTGATGGTTAAAGAGTGTTTCTCGGACTGGAGGCCTGTGACTAATGGTGTGTCACAGGGGTTGGTGCTGGGGCCTTTGTTATTTTTTATTTACATAGATGTACGAGGCATGATTAGTAAGTTTGCGGATGATACAAAGTTAGGAAGTATCGTTGATAGTGAGGAGGTTATCAAAAACTGCAGAGGGATCTTGATCAGATGGGGAAGTGGGCTGAGGATTGGCAAATGCGATTCAATACAGATAAATGTGAGCTGTTGTGCTTTGGAAAGTCAAACCAAGGTAGGACTTATACAATAAATGGTAAGGTCCTGAGGAGTGTTGTGGAACAGAGGGACCTAGGAGTACATGTACATAGTTCGTTGAAAGCGGCATCACAGGTAAACAGGGTGGTGAAGAAGGCATTTAGCGTGCTGGCCTTCATTGGTCAAGGTATTGAGTATGGGAGTTGGGACGTTATGTTACAGTTGTATAAGTTGCTGTGAGGCCACACTTGGAGTATTGCATACAGTTTTGATCACCCTGTTATAGGAAAGACATAGTTAAACTAGAAAGTGTACAAAGAAGATTTATGAGGATGTTGCCAGGACTAGGAGGCCTGAGTTATAGGGAGAGGTTGGCCAGGATAGGAATTTATTCCTTGGAACGTAGGAGAATGAGGTGTGTCCTTACTGACGTGTACAAAAACATGAGGGGCATAGATAGGATGAATGCATATGGTCTTTTTCCCAGGGATGGGAAATTGAAAATTAGAGGGCATAGGTTTAAGGTGAGAGAGGAAAGATTTAAGAAGGACCAGAAGGGCAACTTCTTCACGCTGAGAGTGGTGCGTATATGGGATGTGCTGCCAGAGAAAGTGTTTGAGGCAGGTACAATAGCAACATTTAAATAAAAAAATGGATAGGTACCTGGATAAGAAGGGTTTAGAGGGATATGGACCAAATGTAGGCAATTGGAACTAGCTGAGTGAGCACCATGGTCAGCATGGACCAGTTTGGAGCAAAGGGCCTCTTTCCATGCTGTATTACTCTAGGCCTCTATAAATACTTCTAAAATCAATATCTGTAAGGCATCTTTTTTTTTCAGATGAGTTAACAGCATCATCCTTGGCTCTACCTTTGAGTATGGGCGCTGAGCCCTGGTCCTTGAGTGGTGGATCCTATTCAATGCATCTATGGTTGTTCTTTACCCTGACCTTGCTGTTGCTCATCCTGCTACTGATCTCCTGTGGAAGCTGCATGAGGTAAGTCAGCCAGACACTCATTCCGTGCTCATCTGCGGAAGCAAGAGGGCTTTCTGCTGCATGTGTGCCATTTCACCAACTTTTCCCTGACCTTTAGACATTCTGCATTTTACTCCTCACAGTTTAGAATGCTTGCAAGTTTCCATCTGCAAACTCTGTACGTGTTCCCTATACTCCGAGTTTGTGCTCATTAACATATATCGGGAAAAAGAAGGCTGCCAAATCTAACCCTTGGGGAGCTCTACTACACACCTTCCTCCAGTTTCAAAAACATCTCCAAAATGTCCTTGCTTCCTTGTCCTCCAGATGAATAAGAAAAATGCAATCACAGTTATCACTAATCTATACACCAGCAGGTAGGAAGGATGTAGAGGAACAAATTTGACAAGGTTCCACACAACAAATTAGTAAGGAAAATTAAAGCTCATGGTATCAGAGGTAATGTATTGACATGGATAGAGAACTGGTTAGGTGACAGAAAGCAGAGAGTTGGAATAAATGGGTCCTTTTCAGAGTGGAAGGCAGTGACGAGTGGGGTGCCTCACGGTTCAGTGCTGGAACCCCAGCTGTTCACTATATACATTAAGGATTTGGATGAAGGCATTGAATATAATGTCTCCAAACTTGCAGATGACACTAAGCTGGGGGCAGTGTGTGCTCTGAAGAGGATGCTAAGAGGCTGCAGGGTGACTTGGACCGACTGGCTGAGTGGACAAATACCTGGCAAATGCAATATAATGTGGATAAATGTGAGGTTACCCACTTTGGTCACAAAAACAGGAAGGCAGATTATTACCTGAATGGTGGCAGTTTAGGAAAAGGTGAGGTGCAATGAGACCTGGGTATCATGGTGGAATAGTCACTGAAGGTTGGTATGCAGGTGCAGCAGGCAGTGAGAAAAGCTAATGGCATGCTGGCCTTCATAGTGAGAGGATTTGAGTAACAGAGTAAGGATGTCTGCTGCAGTTATACAGGGCCTTGGTGGGGTCACACCTTGTGCATTGTGTACAGTTTTGATCTCCTAGTCTGAGGAAGGATGTTCTTGCTAATGAGGGAGTCCAGTGAAGGTTCACCAGACTGATTCCCAGGATAACAGAACTGACATATGAAGAATGACTGGATCAACTGGGCTTGTATTCACTGGGATTTAGAAGAATGATGGGCTATCTCAGAGAAATATATAAAATCCTGATGGTACTGGATAGGCTAGCTAGATGTGGGAAGAATGTTCCCAATGTTAGGGAAGTCCAGAACAAGGGTCACAGTCTAAGAATAAGGGGTAAGCCATTCAGGACTGAGATGAGGAAGGATTTCTTCACTCAGAGAATTATGAACCTGTGGGATTCTCTCCCATAGGAAGCTGTTGGGGCCAGTTCGTTACATATATTCAAGAGGGAGTGGGACGTGACTCTTGTGGCTAAAGAGATCAAGAGGTATGGAGACAAAGCGGGAATGGGATGCAGAGATTGCACGATCAGCTATGATCATATTGAATAGTGGTGCAGGCTTGAAGGGCTGAATGGCCTACTCCTGCACTTATTTTCTGTGTTACTAAATCAGCAAGGGAAAAACAGACAGGTGTAAACATCATCGAGGAGTTATAATGGGGGGATTTTAATTACCTGCATATTGACTGGAGTACTGGTTGAGTAAGGAGCAACTTAGCTTTTGTTCAGGAAAGTTTCCTAAAGCAGTATGTGTGTCGTCCAACAAGAAAGAATACACTGTTAGACCTGGGAATGCAGTGAGCCAAGCAGTTCAGGTGTTTTTGAAGGGAGCATTTAAGAGGCAGTGTTCGTTGTATCCTAAAGTTCAGGATAGTGCTGGAGAAAGACATGCAACAATAATCAACTTTCAGAGTTCAATTGGATGAGAACAGAGCTATGTTTAATCCACCCTGGGATGAGGGCACGTCTGGTTAGGCCAGCATTTCTCGCTCAGTGTATTGTTAAGAGTCAATTGCATTGCTGTGAGTCTGGAGTCACATGCAGGCTAGACCAGGTAAGAATGTCAGATTTTCTTCCCTGAACGATATCAGTGAACCTGATGTTTTTTCCAACATTCGACAGTTTTTTGCGGCAGACTCTTACTAAACACACATTTCACTATCTGTCATAATGGGATTTAAACCCATCTCCCTGGATCATTGGCCTGTGTTTCTGAATTGTTAGATCAGCAATGGGATCACCTCCTTGGCTGGGCCAGCAAGACTAGAACCAAAGGCTGGCCAGAGAGACAGTTGGTGAACAATGAGCTGCTTTGGCCTCAGTCCAGATACTTTCCTTCAAAAGGGAAAGGTAGGACAAACAAATCCAGAACTTCCAGGATGACAAAGGAGATGAACACGTTTTTTACTTCTTTAACCTGATGTCTATGTCAGGTGGTAACTACAGTGGAGAATCAAGAGGGAGAGGTCAGAGGGGAGATTAAAAAAGCAAATAAGGAAATTAAAAAAGGGATGATGATTAAAGGCTAGCAACTAATGTAAGGCAAAATGACAAAGTCTCTCTAAGCGCATCAATGATAAAGGTGTGATGAAAGGAGGAGTGGGGCTGATCGGAGACCAAAAAGGGGATTTACTCCTAGAGGCAGAGGGTATTGCTAAGGTGGTAAATGGATAATTTGCAGCTGTCTCTGTATGAAAAAGGAGGATGCTGCCCAGGTTGAGGGACCGGGCACGGGTAAAGATCAAAATTAATAAGGCTGGGTATTTTGATTGGTGCGGTGGCTCAGTGGTTAGCACTGCTGCCTCACAGCACCAGAAACCTGGGTTCAATTCCAGCCTCAAGCGACTGTCTGTGTGGAATTTGCACATTCTTCCTGTGTCTGCGTGGGTTTCCTCCTGGTGCTCTGGTTTCCACTCACAGTCCAAAGATGTGCAGGCTAGGTGGATTGGCTATGATAAATTGCCTATAGTATCCAGGGATGTGTGGATTAGCCATGGGAAATGCAAGATTACATGGATAGGATAGGAGTGTGGGCTTGGGTGAGATGCTCTGCAGAGGGTCAGTGTAGACTTGATGAGCTGAATGGCCTGCTTCCATGCAATAGGAATTCTGTGTTTCTATTAGATGCACCATCAGCATTTAAAGGTGACAAGGTCAGGAGACTGAATGAGATGCATCCAAGGATTTTGAAGGAAGTGAGAGAAAAATTTGTGGAGACACTGGCCACAATCTTGGTGTTCCCTGGGCTCAGGGGAGGTGCCTGAAGACTGGAAATCATAAATACCACGGCTTTACTCAAAAAAAATTGTAAACTTTGGCCCAGTAATTACAATCCAGTCAGTTTCACTTTGGTGGGGAAGCTTCTAGAAATAATTATGTGGGAATTGAATTAATTGTCACATGGAAAATTCTGGATTGGTTCAGAAGAATCATTATGGATTTTTAAAGGAAAACCATGTCTAACTAAAAGCTGAAAGCTTATTGAAGAGGTACAGCAATGACAAGGGTAATATTGTTGATGTAGTGTACATGGATTTCTAGAAAGTGTCTGATACAGTGCTACACAGACTTGTGAGGAACATTATAGGTCAAGGTATAGGTCAGACAGTAGTAATATGGATACAAAATTGGCTGAGGGCTAGGACACAGACAGTAAGGGTCAATAGGTAATTTCCGGACTGGAAGAAAGTTTGCAGGGGAGTTCCTAAGGTTGGTATTTTAACTCTTGCTTTTGATGTAACTTAACGTTCTAGGTTTTAGCGTGCAGGGGACAATATCAAATCTTGCAGATGACATGACACTTGAGAGAATTGTAAACAGAGGAGGAAGAGGAGGACAGTGTGGAACTCCAAAAGGACATTGACAAGTTGGTGGAGCAGGCATATAGGTGGCAGATATCATTCATTGCAGAGAAGAGTGACATGATGCATTCTAATACAACGAACGTACAGAGTTAATATAAAATAAAAGCTACTTTTCTAAAGGATAAGGAGGAGTAGAAAGACCTGGGTGTATAAATATGTAAGTCATTAAAAGTGGCAGGACAGATTAAGAGAGCTGTTAATATAGTATATAGTTTCTAGGCTTCATAACTAGGGACATGGAGCAGGGACGTGATGCTGAATGTATGTAAGATACTTGTTAGATCTTAGCTGGAGTGTTGCGGACAAGTTTGGGTGCCACACTGCAGGTGTGCATGCAAGAGGGATTTACCAGAACGGTCCCAGGGATGTGCCAGTTCAGTACTGAGGATATAACGGATACTTTAGGACCGTTCTCTTTGACAGGAGGAGGCTGAGATGAGTTTTACTAGGTGCTTTCTAAACTGAGAGGGGTTTGTTCAAAGTGCATATAGTGAATCTGTTCCCAGCCAGCTCAAGAATGAGACAGCACTGTTTCAGTGTTTTGCAAAAGAAGCAAGGGCGATGTGAGAAAAACACACAGTGAGTAACTAGGATGCTTTGTCTTTCATATGGCTAGTTTTTCTCTGGAGCACATCACGAGAGGCTACAGCTTGATCATGGTCACTCCATATGAAGTCTGTCTGCCCAGGAGACCAGGCCACTGTTACCACCTGCCAGGGGAGGACTGGAAGGATTTGTAGATTGGAAACCTGTTTTGGTCAAGCCATAAACATGCCTTCCTTTGCCTTCAAGTCCAGGAGGGGGACTTGAACCTGGAGTTTCTAACTCAGAGGTCCACTGTGCCATAAGAAAGAATATGCTGTGATCAAGTTTATGGTAATTATCCACAATAAAAACAGAAAGTGCTACAGAAACTCAGCATCTGTGGAGAGAGAAAGACAGTTAATGTTTCAAGTACTTTGTCAGAACTGAAGTTGGAGATTTATAAACTCACCAGTCCTTCTGTTAGGATGAGACTGCTGTGCTGAACTGAATACTAGATTTTTCTGCTAGAATAAAAATGATACCTGATTTCCTTTCTCTCCGCTCAGAGAGTGGAGACAGAAAGATGAATACTTTCTCTTTGTCGGCTAGATGCCTCTGCTGTTCTGATCATACACAAGGCCATAGTCATCTCCCTAGTCAAGCAGTTGTTACTATATTAAGCTCTCTTGAACCTTCAACAAAAGCCAATCAAAAGACTGTCTGTGAGCAGAATTGCCCTGAATTCATACAGATTGGTTGTGATTTGTCTGTACAGCTCAAATAAAGCAACATTGTACATACAGCTTACAATATGTCCAATAACTTGTTTCTAAATCTGTAAACATCTTACATAGTTTCCTTGGTTTAAAGCAGGATCTTCTCCCGTCTTTAGTCCACATTACAAAAAAAAAGTTGTCTTTTTCAAAAGAACACACGTTACACAAGAAAAGAAATTAAACAAAGCTGTATGTATTGTAAAAGTCAATTTAAAAATATCAACGTAAGTGGTAGAAACATAGAAACAAACCTTGGCTGAGCAAAATTCATTTCAGATACTCAATTCCAGAGAAATATCACTGCTATCATAACTCTTTCATTTCCTACTTTCTTGAATTAGCTTTATTGTCACATGTACCCAAATAAGTATGGTGAAAAGTTTACAAGTCACCACTTACGGCACCATCTTAGTTACAAAGTACCTAGGTATAGATTCTTCAGTACAAGTTCTTAGGGAAAAAAAAAGAAAAATAAAGAAATAAACAGTCCAGCATTATAGATGATTGGAATAAATTAGAAAATGGAGAAATTAAAAATTCAGAACAACAGTCCTTCCAATCCAGTCCACACTGAAACCTAGTCTACAGTCTGCGCTGGGCTTCACCTTGAGGCTCTTAAGGCCAGGAGACCACTCTTGAATCAACACCAGGCTGGAGGTCCACGCTGAGGCAATGCCAGATGAAAGACCACCGCACCTGTCTTTACTGAGTCATTTTAGGTTTTCTTGTAAAGTTCTTCTAAAGACCGATGTTCTGACAGTGTGAAAACTTTGATACAAACTGTGACAACTCAGAGATTTTACAGACCAACCTACCCTGCTGCTAAGCTGAAACTGCTTTGCTGAACTGAAAACTTGATTTTTCTCCGAGGATCAAACATATACCTGCTTCTTCTGAACTGACCATAATCTAAAGCACCAGTATCCCCTGATCATTAGTTTTTCTGTATGTCATAAACCCATCAATATAAACAATTCATTAATTAGCACCACATGCGTCTGAGTAGAGACTTAGTAAGACATATATTTCCTTATGAATGTTGTATTTCGGTTACTTTTCAAAATGACTTTCTGACTTGTTAAAGGACGTAAGCTACATTCACAGAACTGAAACCAAGTTCCATCTGTCTCTATTTTAAAAATCCAAATGTTCAAATGATAACATATACTGTACACCTTTATCACACCTTCCTCCAAAGAAAACTGAAACAGTATCATTAAAAGATGTTTCCAATTTCAATCAAAATGTCTTCTCATTACTTTTTATTTTACTTTGACAGTAATAACATATTTACACAAAACACACAATGATTTTCAGAACAACACACGTCCATTTTGACCACAACATTGCTTTTCTTCCATGTTTGCTCTCGATAAAACATCCGCTGTGTACAAGCGACAAGGTCCTGCTGACAGAAGCCTTTTACCTGCCAACGGCCATATGATTGGATCTCAAATAACTGAACAGCTAGAGACTGGGGAATAAGATGGGGAGAGGTGTCTCCTTGTTCTACGCAGTCAGAGCTCAGTTTAAACCTGAAAAAAACCAGTCAACCTTTCTTTTAGCAGCTGCTGCAAGCTGTGACTTTGAACTGATAAATGAGAGACAATATGCAAATGAAGCAGCCACCCTGTACCTCCTGCAAATCACTGGAAGCCATTTGAAAAAAGGAACTCAGGAAGGAACATTTGGGTCAGCAAGAACCAAATCAACAACATTTTTGCACAAAGACTGGACTGTCTTTCCTCTGTGTGTTTATGTTTTTCTTGTTCCTGCTTATATACGTGTATGTGCATGTGTGTGTGTGCGCGCGTGTGTGTGCACCCGCGTGTGTGCATGCCTTTATGTGTGTCTGTGTCATGGGGAGATTATAACGAGATTAGAATTTTAGTTCATAGTTATATGCTGACAATTTATAATTATTTACCTTAGCTAGAGTCTAATTATTTGTAATAAATGGTGATTCTGTTTCAGTACAGAAACCTGGGCCATACTCTCTACTAGCTCAGGGGAATTTTGGATACTTATTTTAAAAATCTTAACATTTTGTGGCTGCTCTGGGAATGGCAAGGCTTGATTTTTGGTGGGCTACCCTAGCGAGTCATAATGGAACGGTAGAGACAGATAGCTAAAGAGCTCTCGAAACAAAATAGGGGAGGCAATGGCCTAGTGGTATTATTGCTGGACTGTTAATCCAGAGACCCAGATAATGCTCTGTGGACCCAGGTTCGAATCAGATGGTGGAATTTGAATTCAATAAATATCTGGAATTAACAGTCTAACGATGACCATGAATCCATTGTCGGAAAAACCCATCTGGTTCACTAATGTCCTTTAGGGAAGGAAATCTGCCATCGTTACCTGGTCTGGCCTACATGCGACTCCAGACACACAGCAATGTGGTTGACTCTTAATTGCCCTCTGGGCAGTTAGGGATGAGCAATAAATGCTGCCTAGCCAGCAATGCCCTCATCCCGTGAATGAATAAAGAGGGAAAAAAAAGCTTGAATTAGAAAGAGAGGGAGAATGAAAAACAAAGAGAAGTGGAAACAGAAGTCATATTGATAAAGCCCAAACTGCAAAGACATGGGGAAATCACACACGACTTGTTTAGGGAGAATATTAGAACAAAGAAAGAAAAAAGAGGTGGTAGCTCAGACGATATTTCGGATTTCACTGGGGCATCTGGTTTAAGTAGAAAACTTCAATAAGTACCTTTATTTACATAGCAAGGATTTGAAAGAGATTTCACCTTCCAAACCGAGGACCGCTTCCATCTAGAAGGACAAGGGTAGCAGATACGTGGGAACACAACCCCTCCAAGCCACTCACCATTCAGACTCGGAAATATATCAGCATTCCTTCAGTGTCACTGGGTCAAAATCCTGGAATTCCCTCCCTCAGGAGATTATGGGTCTACCTACAGCACATGGATAGCAGCGGTTCAAGAAGGCAGCTCACCACCAGCTTTTCAAGGAGCAACTAGGGACGGGCAATAAATGCTGGGCAAGCCAGGAATGTCCACATCCCAAAAAACAATAAAACACAAATTATATTTGCAATATTCAAAGAAATGATGAATAGTTTGGGAATTAAACAATTAATGTCTTCAGCTTACCATCTTAAGGAACATTGGAAAGACAGCATCAAGCTTTAAAGACCATGGATGAACAATAAAATCTAGAGCAGGCAAAAAGGTGAAAGCTTGGAATGTTGTTGCTTGACAAAAGGTATTAACATTGCCTCTGGAAAACCTTTAAAAGTAAAGATCACCGGACCATACCAAATCCAAAAGAAGCTCAATGATGTGAATTCTGCAGTGTCTTCTCCCGACAGAAGGAAAAAAAATCAGTGAGTGTGTTACATAAACATGTGAAAGAGGAGTCATGACTGGGAGGATAGTCATGATCCTTAATGTGGTGAAGATATAGGGAGTGAAAGAAAAACATCAGAATGATTCAAGAATAAATCAAAAATTGAAAACTTAAAAGCTGAGGAATTTCTTCTCAAGAAGGTTAGTGAATCTATTGAATTGTTTACCACAGAAGGTTGTCGAGGCTGTGTCATTAAAAATATTCAAGGCTAATACAGATGGATTTTTAATCAGTAAGGGGAATCGATGGTTATAGGGAAAAGGCGGGAAAGTGGAGCTGAGGATGATCAGATCAGCCGCAATCTCTTTGAGTAGCAGACCAGACCCAATGGGCTGAATGGCCTAATTCTGCTCCTATGTTGTACTGTATGATCTTCTGAACCTACTTTCATCAGAATTACTATTTCAGTGTGTGAAGGATGTACACAATGTGTGTTAAGACCGTATGTGAAATCTGTACACCGTGTGTTAGACAGTGTGTGAAATCTGTACACAGTATGTGTTAGACAGTGTGTGAGGGCTGTACACAGTGTGTGTGCATGTTAGACAGTGTGTAATGGTGTACTCTGTGTGTGTTATGCAGTGAAAGCTGCGGATTGGTCTGCAAATTACAATGTAGTAATCTCAGACACCAGCACAGGATGCTGGAATGACATAAAATACTTGGAATGGATGTGACTGGAACAGGATGAATGTAACAAGCTGTGACAGTTGGGGATGGCTGCTCTCTAACTCCATCTATCTGCCTCAGCCCCCTCACCAGCAACACCACTTCTGAAGGGGCAGTAATCTCACTCACCTTGAAAGTGTCCAGGTGAAGGTCAGCGGGCTTATCGAGGTGACCATTCCAAGTTTCCACAAGTGTTTGTGTGAAAACTCCCTTCCCAACATCGGCCTGAAATGACGCGCTCAAATTGTGAGATGCTGCTCCCTTATCCTGGACTGAGAGAAATGAGCAACTCACCTTTGATCACATCAGGGTCTTTAACCATCAAAACCACCTCCATTAAACCCCCACCTCATTGTCTATAACTCAGGAAGATACTAACCCTAGTCGAAGCAATCTCCCCCCACTCCATTTACTGACACTTTTTACCCAGGATCGTTCTGATGGTTCCTATCCTGTCAATAAGATCATGTCCAATTCTTCTAAACTCTAATGAGTGCAGGCCCAACCTGCTTAATATCTCCTCAGAACAATGTCCCTCATTATTCAGGATCAATCAAGTGAACCTTCCCTGAACTACCTCCAATGCCAGACTGTCCCTCCTCAAGGAATGAGACCAAAACTCTGGACCCAATTTGTTTTCATCAATCCCCTGTTGTAGCAGGACTTCCCTACCTCTATATTCCATCCCTCTTGCAAGGCAGGCCAATATTCTCATTGTTTTCCTAGTCACAAGGTAAATCTGAGTGTTAACATCTTGTGATTCATGTACCTTGACACCCAGAACCCTCTGTACATCAGAGTTCTACAGACTCTCTCCATTTAAATAATATTCTGATTTTCCATTCCTCCTGCCGAAGTGGAAAAGTTTACATTTTCCCACATTATACTCCATCTGCTACACTTTTGCCCACTTTCTTAGCCCATCATAACTTAGCTCCTCCTCTCAACTTGCTTTCACACCCATCCTCAGCATCGTCAGTGAATGGGGCTACAATACAGTTTGAACTGCATCTAAGTGCTAAGCCAAGCCTAACAGGAAAGGGGCAGGGAAACTCTTTCAGGAAATTCACTGGGACAGCTGACCCTGGAGTAAGAGCCTGGCCTCCTCTGTTGTTTTTACAGGCCTTGCTAAAGACTAACTAACATCAGCGCCAACAGGAATCCTAGAACAGAATCATAGAAATGGCAAGACACAGACGTTGGCCACTCTGCCAATCCTGTCTATTCTGGCTGAAAAGGAAGCCACCCAGCCAAACCCCAGCTTCCAGCATCTGGTCTGTGGCCCTGCAGCTTATGGCACTTGAGGTACATTTCCAGGCATTTTGGAAATGAATCAACAGTTTCTGCCTTCAATGCTCTGTCAGGTGATGAGTTCCTGATCTCTCTCACCCTCTGGGTGAAAACTGTTTCCTCATCTCGTCTCTGATTCCTTGACTGATCACTTTAATTTAATAACCAATGCCCCATAGCCACTGTCACCTCTGTTAAATAAGTCTGTCCCATCCAGTCCATCCAGGTCGCTCACAACCTTGTATATCGTAATCAAATTTTGTACCCCTCCTCATCCTCCTATGTTCCATGGGGAACGTCCAGCCTATTCAGTCTTTCCCCAAAACTGGCAACATCCCTGTAAATCTCCTCTGCACCTTCTCTGGTGATAGACTGATGTTCACAGTTTCACACATCACTGAAACACTTTTGTTTAACTGTGTGAGGAACTGGTGCAGTTTATCAGAGGACATTATAACGTTCCTAATGAGCTATTTTCTCTTTCCACAGGGATGCAGCTCAATTCTCGGCAGAGAGTAACGACACAGAGACTAAAGATGACACTCAGCTCATAAGCATTGTAAGTTTGTGGAACAGGGAATCGGTTCAAATCCAGTGAGGGGATTGGTGGGGAAGGGGTGATGAGTTATCAGGGAATTTGAGCAGGGGTTCCTGTTTTTCCTTTGGGAGTGGAATTTCAGTGACACTGTTTGTGGGGCCCAGAGAGTACGGAGGAAACTCTGGCACCATCACAGTGAAGACTGACAGGAAGCAGAAAAGTCACCTGTGTGGTGTCTTTACAGGACAGAAGGAGAAGGAGATGAAGGGGCAGTTTCACTGGGGCAAATAATCACATCAGTGATAACATGTGGAAATAATAAGAAATTCTGTCTTCTTTCTCCAGAGCCAAATGGATGATTCTGTATTTCCAAAGAGCATCTCCACAGCAACAATTCAAGAAGGTACAGACAGAATCAAATAGGGGGCTGTTCCACATTGAGGGAGTGATATAGAGGGAGTCATACACTGAGGGTGATACACAGAGGGATGGTGGTGCAGTTTCCGTGTGTGGTTTGAGTGCTGTGTGTTGACCTGATGTGAGTTCTGGTTTTGACAGTGAGCTATTTGGAATCACTTTGCCTTCATGTGACCTTGATCACTGATTTGGGACGTAGGCAATTTCTCAATTGCTAGCTGTGTGACAGACTGGGAACCCTGTGACCGGTGAAATCATTGCTGTGACTCAGTCTGTGATTTACATCATGCAATTGCCACATCGCCCCTCTGAAGAGCATCCCACCCAGACCCACCTCCCTACTCCATTCCTGTAAACCCCAACTTCCAATGGCCAGTCCACCTCGCTTGCGCATCCCTGGACAAATTAGCATGGCCAATCCACCTAACCTGCACATCTTTGTAAAACCGAACGGACTGCGGATGCTGTAACCAAAAAACAGAAGTTGCTGGAAATTTTAGCAGGTCTGGCAGCATCTGTGGAGAGAAATCAGAGTTAACGTTTTGGGTCCGATGACTCTTCCTCAGAACTGATGGTTGCTAGGAAAATGTCAGTTTATATGCAGAAGATAGGGTGAGGGCAGGGAGAAAGGAGTAAACAACAGAGCCTAAAGAGAAAGAAGAACGGTTGGACAACAAAGGAGTTGATAACGATCTGGCTAGGGGGATGAACAGTTGTTAATGAGGACTGTTAGTGACTAACAATAGATGGTGTGTAATGGCAGACTATGTAATAACAAGGTCTGATATGTGGGGTGGGGGCGTGGGGGTGAATGGGTAAGTTCAGTCCCTAAAATTATTGAACTTGATATTGAGTCGGGAGGGCTGCAGGGTCCCCAGGCGGAAAATTGAGGTGTTGTTCTTCCAGATTGCGCTGAGCTTTGCTGGAGAACTATAGGAACCCCAAGACAAAGATGTTGACCAGGGAACAGGGTAGTGTGTTAAAGTGGCAGGCAACTGGAAGCTCAGGGTCTTTTTAGTGAACAGAATGTAGATGTTCTGCAAAGCAGTCACCCAGTGTACGCTTTGTTTTCCCAATGTACAGGAGACCACATTGTGACCAGCGAATGCAGTAGACTAGATTCTGGGAAGTGCAGGTGAAGTGTTGCTTCACCTGGAAGGTATGTTTGGGCCCTGGGATACTGAAGAGGGAGGAGATAAGTGGGCAGGTGTTACATCTTTGACAGTTGCAGGGGAAGGTGTTGTGGGGCTGTGGGGGGATGTTGGGAGTGATGGAAGAGTGGACCAGGGTGTCCTGGAGAGAATGGTCCCTGTGGAAGGTGGACAGGGGAGGGGAGGGGAATATGTATCTGGTGGTGGTATCTCGCTGGAGGTGGTGGAAATGGTATCTGATGATCTTCTGGATGTGGATACTGGTGGGATGGTAGGCAAGGACAAGGGGAACCCTATTGCTGTTGGGGGAGGGAAGAGAAGGGAATGAGGGCAGAAGTGTGGGAGATGGGTCAGACCTGGTTGAGGGCCCTGTCGACAATGGTGCTGGGGAATCCTCGGTTGAGGAAGAAGGTGGACATTTCGGAAGGTGGACAACGCTCCGTTGTTGCCCTTGGTCTCATCAGAAATGTGTGATGGAGATGGAGGAACTGAGAGAATGGGATGGAGTCTTTACAGGAAGCAGGGCGCGAGGATGCAAAGTCCAGGTAGCTGTGGGAGTCGGTGGGTTTATAGTAGATATTAGTGGCCAGTCTACCCCCAGAAATGGAAACAGAGATGTTGCGGAAGGGAAGACAGGAGTTAGGTATAGACCAAGTGAAAGTGAAGGCAGGGTGGAAGTTGGAAACAAAATCAACGTACCTTTCCAATTCCAGATGAGAGAGGGATGCAGCACTGATGATATCATCGATATACCAGAGAAAGAAACAGACAGCCCTCAGACCATCCTGGTGGCGGATGTACGTGTAAAGGGATTGCATGTCCATGGTAAAGAGGATGCAGCTGGAAATTCTGAAACCGACGTAAAGTGTCAGAAGAATCATGAATTGATTCGGCTTCTTGAATTGAGTGGTTTGCTAGGCCATTTCAGAGGGCAGTGGCACGTTGTTGTGGGTCTGGAATCACATGTATACCAGTCTAGGTATGGACAGTATTAATAATCCAGGTTTAGGGTTTTATGAAGAATTGGCAATGATTATGTGGTCATCTCTAGACCAACATTTCAAAATCCAGATGAGCTTAAATTTAAATATCACTATCTATCATGCAAGTTTCAAACCCATGTGGCCATAACATTATTGAACACACAGAATGCTGAAGAAACTCCACAGATCTGGCATAGCATCTCTGGAGAGACAGAAGCAGAGCTAATGTTTTCAGTCTGAGGAGAAAGTGTTTCTCTCAGAGGTAAGAGTTTGTGAAACTCTCTTACCCACAGAGTGCATGTGTCGGGGTCATTAAATATTTTTAACATGAGTTCTCAGGGGGCAGTGAGAATGTGGATTTGATGCTACAATTTGATCAGCCATGATTGTACTGAATGGGAGAGCAGATTGAGGGGCTGAATGGCCTACTCCTGTTCCTATGTTTTTTCTTGAATAGCAGTGCAGATATGAGGGGCTGAATGGCCTACTCTGGCTTCTGGTTTGCATTTTCAGTTGTCTGTATGTGTTTGTCTAGGGGTTTGTGTGTGCGCGCGCATGTGTGTGTGTGTTTGCATTTGAGTGTCTGACTGGGCCTCGTGTCTGTGTGTGTGTCTATTTGTGTCTGTGTGAGTATTTTCGTGTGTGTGTGTGTGTGTACACATACAGTGGAAACAGATGTGTGTTTCTCACCCAGTGTTCCTGCAGTGAGGCACGTTTCTGCCCACTGTTTGCCAGGAAAGGTTTTCACTGCCCTGAAACTGACGTGTTAATGAGCATAAAGAGTGAGATTTCATGTGACTGTGGTTAGCAGAAATTGCATCAGAGACTGAATCATTGACCAATTGCATTTCAAAATTTACAGATACTCAACACAAACTTGGCCAACAACAGATCAAGAACTGGCAGTCCTTCATGCCCTCTGGCCAAAACAAAAAATAGTTTCAAATATTATTTCTGTGATGAATGGTGGGAGTTCTACCCAGTGCCTTGAACCAATATCACTAAAAGCAGATCTTCTGGTCATTTATCCCATTGCTAATTGTGTGAGCTTGCTGTATGAAAATTGGTTGTTCTGTTTCCTACTTTCCAGCTGGAACTATGCTGCAAAATTACTTACAAGGGGAGGCGATAGCCTAATGGTATTATTGCTGGACTATTAATCCAGAAACTCAGGTCATGTTGTTGGAACCTGGGTTCAAGTCCTGCCATGGTAGATGGTGGAATTTGAATTCAATAATAAATCTGGAATTAAGAATCTCATGAAACTATTGTCAGAAAAATCCATCTGGCTCACTTATGTCCATTAGGAAACTGCCATCCTCACTTGGTATGCTCTACGTGTGACTCCAGATCCATAGCAATGGGCTTGACTCTTAACTGCCCTCTGGGCAATAAATACTGGCCTAGCCAGTGATGACCACATCTCACAAATGAATAAAAAGATAGAGATTTCTGGAGAAACTCAGCGAGTCTCGTAGCATCTGTGGAGAGAGAAACTGAATTCATGTTTCAAGTCCAGTGACCCTTCTTCAGATCCCTAGTGTGGCTCTCTGCTGGCTGTGCCCGAATGTTCACATCTAACAAGTTCCCTTTCACTTTCAAACCCTCACAGGTCGCCCTGGATTGCGTAAAGTAAGCTGGCAAAATGATGTGGAAATGTCTGGCACACAAGATGATAAAGAGTCTCCGTGTCAACACAGTAGAGCACTGCCTGAGCTTCCCACTGCCTCGGGCAGTAAGGTGAATCCCGATGGTAAAGGTGACCCCGTCTACCAGACAGCAAGGGAGCTGTCTGCTGCAGAGTGCCCAGAGCTTGCAGAAGACTCCATCGAACCATCATACGCAGCCAGTGAGCAGTTTAGCCTCGAAGCACAGAGGACAGAGTTCATCATTGAGGATGACATTGCCAAGGAGGATGGGGAGGGACAACGGGAGAAAGTGGCTCCTGTATATGCACGGGTCAGCAAAAAGCCAAAGAACACACCATTGCTGCAACTTCCCAGCCCTTCATTAGCCCGTGGGAATGTGGAATGTGACGAGGAACCACCACCACTACCTGAGAAACATTTCGACCTTGATGATGATTTTGGGGTCAGTGTGGTCTTTGAGCAGGTCAGATGTGGACCAGAAAAGGTCTGCAGCTCTCCCTCACTAACTCACATGCTCACACCTACCTGTGATTTTTGTCTCTCTGATTCCTGTTCTTCAACCCTCCTCATCGCCTCGTCTTTATTCTGATATCTCACTTCACCCTTGCACTTGCTCTTCCTGCCAACCACTCAGTCACATTCCATTCCAAGTAGCCGCACACAAATACACACTGTCAAAAGAACACTGTCCCTGTCCTGGGAGTGTTTGATGGGACAGTGTAGAGAGAGCTTTACTCTGTATCTTATCCCATGCTGTCCCTGTCTTGGGAGTGTTCGATGGGGACAGTGTAGAGAGAGATTTACTCTCTATCTAACCCTGTGCTGTCCCTGGCTGGGGAGTGTTTGATGTGGGACAGAGTGGAGTGAGCTTCACTCTGTGTCTTACCCTGTGCTGTCTCTGTCCTGGAGGTGTTTGATGGCAGACAGCGTAGAGGGAGCTTTACTCTGTCTAATCCCATACTGTCCCTGTCCAGGTAGTCTTTAATGGGAACAGTTTTGAGGAACATTCACTTTCATTTTACAAGGGTAGAGAGAATATTACTTTCATTTTAAAAGAATATAGGGACATTTTCTTTGAATTTAAAAGAGTACAGGGAGCTTTACATTCATTTTAAGAGAGTAGAAAGAACTTTACTGTCAATGTAAAAGATAGAAATTGGCTGGAACAGGAAGTGTTGGTAGAACCACTGCAGTGGTAGAACTTGGAGACATTGTCACAGCACAGAGGCCAGCCTCTTCAGGATTAGGATTGGGAATCGTTCTTCACACAAAGAGCAAATATCGTTTGGAACTGACTTTGACAAAAGGCAATTGCTGGCAGATCAGTTATTATTTTGAAGTTTTAGATTGATAGGTTTTTGCTAAGCATATGGGTTGGTGAGTGCGATGAAAAGCTGGGTGTCCGAAGTTGGGTCACAGATCAGCCATGATTCTATTGAATATGGAACAGCATTAAGGGGCTGCATGATACTGGAGTCTGAATGAAGTCTCAGTGATGTTTTAACAGTGAGCACTGATCTACATTGTCACTCTTCATTTTTCAGACATTGGTGGAGAGAGCACCTCAGGAAGACCCCAGAGCAGCTTTGCTTCCTGCTGAGTCCTGTGTCACTGATGGGGATGATATTGTGGCCACAAAGAATGGTCTGACTGTGGGTTAGCAGCACCAATATCTCTGAGACACTACTCTGCTTCTAACTGGATATGATCAGTATTGGATGGGATTTACCTAAACAAGCTACACCAGAATGAATATCCCCAAAAGGAATGCAGGGAAACCATCAAAAACAGAAACTCAGCAAGTCTGACAGCATCTGTGAAGAGAGAAACAGAGTTAACGTTTTGAGTCCAGTGACTTTTCTTCACAACAATGTGGGATAGAGGGGCCTTGTGTCTCCTGCTCCCTATACACTACACAATGAACACAGCTTGGAACTTCAGAGACACTGTATAGCTCGGGCTCTATGTGGGAAAAGTACTGAAGGAGTGACATTAAAATTTCATTTCTTGCATTTGAACAGGAGGGCTGGAGCTCTGATAACCTCTTAGTGCGGGTACTGGGAGTGAGATGTCACCATTTTAATAACAGAATTTTCTGCGTAGTTTTCTCTGTGACATTATAGATTTCTTGAATATTATTACACTGACAGTGTCCACGTGTTGATTCAATTTCTTTGATGAATATTAATTGAATTTATTTTCAGAATGTGGGCGTTACATGTATTTCACTTACATCATTTCGCCAAATAGTGATGCTGTACAAGAATGTCCTGTTCGATGGTTTCAGAAGGTAGGTAAGAGTCACACAGCAGTTCCTGCTGGGGAAGGGCAGCAGCTTTATTTTATTTCACTGGAGGCAGTTCAGAGAAGGTTCATTGGGAAGGATGTCTTATGGGCAAAGATTAAACAGGCTGAAAATTACTCATTGGAGTTTAGAAGAATGAGAAATGATCTCATTGAAACATATAGAGTTCTTAAGGGGTTTGACAGGATAAATGCTGAGAGGATGTTTCCCCTCATGGGAGTCTAGGACCAGACAGCATTGTGTCAGAATAAAGGGGCACCTATTTAAGACTAAGATGAGGAGCAATTTCTTCTCTCAGAGGGTTGTGAGTCTTTGGAACTCCTTGCCACAGAGAGCTATGGGGCAGAGTCATAGAGTGTCATACAACATGGAAACAGACCCTTCGGTCCAATTCTTCCGTGCCGACCAAGTTTCCCAAACTAAACTGGTCCCACTTGCCTGTATTTGGCCCAAATCCCTCTAAACCATTCCTATTTAATGTGTTTTAAATGTGGTAACTGTACCTGCACCCACCATTTTCTTCTGGAAGTTTGTTCCAATCATAAACCACTCCAATTCCAAAATAACTTCCCTGATCTTGTTTCTAAGCCTCAGCCAATAAAGACAAGTATCCCATATACCTTCTTATCCACCTTGTCTACCTGTACCTCTACCTTCAGTGATCTGTGGACATGCAAGATGCTGTCTTGTCCCTTTAAGGAGGTAAGCTCAAAATCCAGATGTCAGGAACAGTGGCTCAGTGGTTAGCACTGCTGTCTCACAGTGCCAGGGATTCCAGCTTTGGGTGGCTGTGTGGAATTTGCATATTTAAGGCTGAGATAGATTCTTGATCAGTCGGGGAATCAAGGGAAAATGCAGGAAAGTGGACATGAGGAATATCCGATCAGCCGTGATCCTGTTGAATGGTGGAGCAGGCTCGAGGGGCCAAATATTATTGTTTTTCTTTCAATAAAAGCTGCTCGTGGACTATTTAAGTTTTTCCCACATTCTGATGGTCTCATGATTGTTTTTACTGAGACCATTTGTTATTTCCAGGTTTTTTAAGAGTCTAATTCAAATTCTCAAACTTTCCTGGTGTGCTCTGATTGATCCCTTTCTGAATGATCACAGAATTAGTATGGAGCAGAAGGAGACCATTTGGCCCATCATACCTACACTGGGGTCGTTAAATGGAGCATCATGACCTCGTGATCTCCAGACTTTACCCCACATCCTTGCACACCATTTCTATCTCAGTAACCATCCAATACCCTCTTAAATACCTCAATTAAACCTGTCTTCACCACATTTCCAGGCAGTGCATTCCAGACTGGAAATAGTTGCTGCATGGAAAAGATTTTCCTCACTTCACCCTAGCTTCTTTTGCAAATCACTTTAAGTATGCGCCCTCTTGTTTTTGTTCCTTTTACAAGCGGGCACAGTTTTGATAATCACTAGGTGACTGTGCAAAATCAACCACCATCCATTCACAGGCATGTTCTCTCACCCAGAGCCAGGAGAATTTACCCTCCTCATGTGATTCTGGGAGCAATATAGCAAAATAAACTCTTTACAGGAAAAGCTGAATGTGAGAATAATTTGTAACAGGGAGACTCTAACACATTGATAGGAAACCCACACAGACACAAGGAGAATGTGCAAATTCCACAGTTATCCAAAGCTGGAATCAAACACAGGTCCCTGGCACTGTGAGGCAGCAGTGCTAACCACTGAGCCACTGTTCCTGACATCTGAATTGTGAGCTTACCTCCTTAAAGGGACAAGACAGCACCTTCCAAACCCATGACCACTTCCATCTAGAAGGAAATATATTGCTATTCCTTCGGTGTCACCGGGTTGAAACCCTAGAATTCCCTCCCTAAGGACCTTGTCGGTCTACTGACAGCACACGAACGGTGGTGGTTTAAGAGGCAGTTTGTTCTCAAGGGCTAATAGGAATAGGCAATAAATACCTACAATAAATGGCTAAGCCAGCAAGGTACACATCACTGAATAATAAAAAAAAACTTATGTTTCAGTCACATAAGGTATAGCTGAGACCACATCTCAAATACTGTGTGCAGTTTTGGTCTTTTTCAAGGAAGGGTGTTGGACATGGTTCACAGGAGGTTTATTGGATTTGTATCTGGAATAAGTGTGTTGTCTAATGAGCAAAGTTTGGATAGACTGGGACTGTTTCCCCTGGATCTTAGTGAGGGGTGACCTGATTGAAGTGTATCAGATCCTGAATGATCTTGTCAAGGTTTACTGTGGATAGAATGTTTCCTCTTGTTGGTCAGTCCAGAACTAGAGGGCACCAATGCAAAATTGTGATCAGTCTATCAGGACAGCAAGGAGGAGAATGTTTTTCTCTCAGAGAGCTGTGTGACTCTCTGCTTCAGAACAGTGGAGGAGGAGTGGACATTGAAGATTTTTAAGGTGGAGGGGGATAGATTCTTGTTAGGCAGAGAATTGAGGGTCATCGGGGGAGATAGGAATGTGGAATTCCAGACACAATCAGATCAGCCATGATTTAATTGAACAGAGAAGCAGGGGCTGAATGGCTTACTTGTGTCTTATTTCATCTGCTTGTACAAAAAGCTGATCCTTGCTCCATTACTGAGCTTCACACAGAAAGGGTTAGTCAACAGGATTGGCAATGATTATTCAGCATTCCTCGGTCTTTTAAACAATATCTGAAGTTTGACTTGTTTGCTTATTGTCAGCAGAAATAATGATTTGTCGTGGCAGGTCCCCTCCCTTTTGTACGTGTTATAACAGAACCATTGCTGTATCGACTGCTCTGTTCAATGGTGTCAATCTGGATAGTCAACCTATTCCAGATACAATCACACACTGTTGTTCCAGGGGATTTGACAAGTTTTCCTCTGGGAATATCTTAGTTCAGACATGAAATATATTGCACTGATTCACCCTCAACTTCTGCAACCAATCTCCTATGTAAATCACTCATATTTATTCACCTGATTGATGGCAAGGTGTAGATCATTTACTGCCAATCACACAGTACAAACTGAGGAATTTTTAAAAAATTCTTTCACAGGATGTGGCATCTCTGGCCTGTCTCCAGTTGCCTTTGAGAAGGTGGTGGTGAGCTTCCTTCTTGAATTGCTGCAGTCCACCTGGTGTGGTTTGACCCACAATGCCATTAGGGAGGGAATTCCAGAATTTTGACCTAGCAACACTGAAGAAGCAGTGATATATTTCCAAGTAAGGATGGTGAGTGGCTTGGAGGGCAACTTGCAGGGAATGGTGTTCCCATGTATCTGATGCCCTTGTCATTCTAGATGGAAGTGGTCGTGGGTTTGGAAAGTGCTGTCTGAGGATCATTGAAGTTCTGCAGTTTATCTTATCGATAGTATACACGCTGTTACTGAGTGTCGGTGGTGGAGGGAGTGGATGCTTGTGGATGTGGTTCCAATCAAGTGGGCTGCACTGTCCTGGATGGTTTTGAGCTTCTTGAGTGTTGTTGGAGCTGCATTCATCCAGGCAAGTGGGGAGTATTCCATCACACTCCTGACTTGTGGGTGTTGGAAAAGTCTGTCAAACATAACCTTAATGAGACGGGGTTGACCATAAATGCAGCAACTAATGATCTGTGTTGAGCTCATAGACTGGAAATGCACTCTGACTGTGCACAACAGGAAATTCTGCGTGTCCAGCTATGATTTTATGAATGCTAATTTGAATAGCTCAAAAATCATCCCATGGAAATGCTGAGCTGGAGAATATCTGCTCAATCCACTGTCTGTGAATCTCTTCTGGTAGAAACATAGAAGATAGGAGTAGGAGGAGGCCATTCGGCCCTTTGAGCCTACTCTGCCATTCATCACAATCATGGGATGATCATCCAACTCAATAGCCGAATCCTGCTTTCTCCCCATAACCTTTGATCCCATTCGCCCCGAGTGCTATATCTAGCCGCCTCTTGAATACCTTCAATGTTTTGGTATCAACTGCTCCCTGTGGTAATGAATTCCACTGGTTCACCACTCATTAGGTGAAGAAATGTCTCCTCATCCACATCCTAAATGGTCTACCCCAAATCCTCATATTGTGACCCCTAGTTCTGGACGCACACATCATTAGGAAAATTCTCCCTGCATCTAGCCTGTCCAGCTCTGTTAGCATTTTATAAGTCTCTATGAGATACCCCTCATTCGTCTAAACTCCAGTGAAAACAATCCCAACCTAGTCAATCTCTCCTCGTACGTCAGTCCCACCATCCCCGGAATCAGCCTGGTAAACCTTTGATGCACCATCTTGAGAGCAAGAGCATCCTTCCTCAGGAAAGGAGACCAAAACTATACAATCCCACACCCTACCCTCAATCCAAATCAGTTTTGAGTTCGGTGCAGGAAGGTGCATTTTAAGTTCAGGAAAGATGTCCCCACAACAGATCAGTATGCCCCACGCCCTTCTAGTGATTCTTCTCAACAGGAGGTACCTTGTGGATAAAGGCTTTGACTTGTGTTTGCTGTGGTTCGGATCACAGGGCAGGCGATGAGATGTGAGTTATCTTTGTGAGGTGAGTTGGTCAGTCAGCCCTTGTTTCTCCAGAGTTCACCACACAAAGTCAGTGACTGGCCACACTGACTGCTGGCTGAGGTAAATGCTCAGGCAGAATAGCCAATAACCTCCTCACATTACAAGGTCTAACAGACACTCAAAGATTGGAATTTCCTCAGCGGGTTGTGGGTTTATTTGTTACAACCAGATCTAACACTAGGCCCCAGTGAGTGAGGGGCAATCAATGCCCCTCTGCTGTCCTCCACTCCTACACAAACTCCACTAATGCCCCCAGAACATATATCCTCCTGTCAGATGAGATTCAGAATAGTCAGCTCCTGTCAAAGTCAGCAAGAATGGGATTTCTAATCCCACTGCAGAACCTTAGCTCAACAACTAGTGTGACAGAAACAGAAAATGCTGGAGAAACTCAGCAGGTCTGGCAGCATCTGTGGAGAGAGAAACACAGTTAAAGTTTCGCGTCGGATGACCCATTTCCAGCTAATTCTCTTTTAGTTTCAGTTTTCCAGCAGCTTTGTTTTTTTACAACTAGATGAACAATTTATTGCAGCAATGTGGGATTGAAGGGTCAGTGCTGATGGAGTACCTCATTGTCAGAGGGTCAGTGCTGAGGGAGCGCTGCACTGTTGGAGGGTCAGTGCTGAGGGAGTGCTGCACTGTTGGA